CAATGTTTTGCAGTTTTGTAAATGAACAGTTCTTTGCCTTATATTTTTCTTGTTTTCCTCTGTTGGTACACTCCCATTAGTGACATCCCTCACCACTAGTCAGTTACTACATTAAATAACAAAGATTGTGCACAATTCAATTCTTTGGTTCACACAGGTAACACAACTTACCTATGTGTAAGTTCACCATAAATGAGAACCACTTCATGCAAATGGAAAACATAGGATTTGCTTGCAGTCTACTTCTCCTCAAACTAAATAACTGCAGTTAGACTTCGCTAGAAAAAAATAAGCTCCTAAAATTTATCCCCCAAACATTATTCTTAAATTAAGAGTCTACAGAATATGAAGGCAAGAGGGCTGTTTGCTAGGCTGCTAATGTGACTGCCATTTTCTACACAATTCTTCACATGGTTTTGATTTATTGCAAGTTGCCAGCCTAGGCTTCCCAGATGAAATATATAATACTTTATTTAATACTTTTCCACATATTTTATGGTTTTAAGAAATTAAATAAGAACCATTACTTTGTAGGTATCTTTAACAAATGTGGAAAGTGAAATTCTGACTTTATAGTTTAACTATGGGTGGGATTTTTTTCTTGGAAAATAAAATCAATAAATGTATTCTCAGAATTAAAATATAATATTTTAATACTATCTTCTAAATTTTATTTGTCATATGTACACATAAAAGACACTATGCTCTGACTGGTGTGGCTCAGTAGGTTGGGCATCATTCCACAACCAAAAGGTGGCCGATTTGATTCCTGGTCAGGGGAACATGCCTGGGTTGTAGTCCAGGTCCCCAGTTGCGGGTGTACAAAAGTCAGCTGATTGATGTTTCTTTCACACATCAATGTTTCTTTCCCTTTCTTTCTCCCTCTTTTCCCCTCTCTCTAAAAATAAATAAATATAAAATTTTAAGAAGTATATCGTGCACTATAATGGTTAGATACAATAGAGGGCTGGTGGTGGTATTGTGTAGACCCACAAACATTAGGGATAACTTTATTTCAGGTTAATGCCTAGAATGTAATAAGCATCAGAAGTCAAAAGAAATGGAACTATATTCATGTCACAATTATTTACTGAATGCTTGCAATATAATAGTAACTGTATACTGCTTCTGAATTTTGGGAGTTTACTAACATGCAAGAGACACAGACTCATGAGCTGATAGTTAAACAGAATGTGTTAAAGGCTTTACCAGGGTTATGCCCAGGGAGCTATTGGAATATACCATAAAACACTATCATTTCAAATTAAAAACTTGTTTTATTCCAATATAAACAAAGTTAGCTTTATTGTAATGGTAAGAAAAGTTAGAATTGTTAAGAGCCTATGTTAAGTGTTAAGGGTTAAGTTATAGTCATGACTTATCTAATTTGTAACAATAAAGTGTCATCTTTTAGAATGTGTGGTATGAAATTTCAGCCCCTTAAATAAGATAAATCTTGTTACAATTACAATTTAAAACTTGAGAAACTCTGTTTTCTATTTTTAAGCCTCTTAATGACATCATTTATTGTCTACTGGAAATCAATTTAGGAAATCATGTTAGTCCACTAAGCACTTCAGATAAGGTGATTTCATGAAACATTCCAAGATTATCACAGGGAATTGCTTTCATATGCCATAAAAGAAGAAAGAAGCAGAATATAACCTGCTGAAGGAGTTTACAATTTTACAGCTCCTCCCACTGCAGCACAAAAGTCACTTAGTGACAGTTAACTTTGGGTTATCATTCACGGATTGAAAGCCTAGCAGGCCTCACACACTCTAGGCTTGGGTGACATTGTATGTGTGCTTCTAAATCAATGATGAGGGTATCGGAACCAATACTGGACATGGATATGGCAAATTACAGTGAAGTTTTGGACCCAACATATACAACCTTGGAATTTGAAACTATGCAGATTCTGTATAATTCAAATGGTGAGTATAATTCAAATCTGCTTATAAATATTTTTTAAAAAGTAAGTATAGTGGGAGAAGTAAAACTGATCTTCACAGGTGGTAGCTACAGGTTTTATTGCTGGAGAATTCAGGGCTTGCTGTTTAAAGCCACAAATCTGAGCTTTTGAATGTCATCACAAACTACAAATTAATAATATGTTTGAGATAGAAAAAACCTAGTTATATGTAATAAAGTAACCTCAGAATTCTGTCATAAGCCAGTTAGATGAAGAAAGCTATTTATTATATTTACTATAAATCACAGTAATAAATAACATTGGCAGATTGGCTATAAAGTATATTTTCTATGCAATATTTACAATGACATAGGGGACAGAGTTTCCATAGAGCACTGCAAAGTTTCCTGGGTTGCCCCTCCTTCATTATTCCATCTCTCAATTGCTGCTGATGAGAAACTGCATTGAAAATTACCATCAAGTTTTTGCATTGAACACAAATATTAAAGGAAATAAAAGCTTATATTATAATCCCAATTGACAAGCTAATGATTAACCTCAAGAGTTCTTGGTATTTATCTACTGTAACATTTTAACTTTAAATAAGGCATGAGTTGTTTAAAGCTCAGGTCTTTTTGTAATACAGTTTACTAATGACTTTAAATTTATTTTTTAAGTAAAAATATTTTTCAAAATCAGTTATTATCAATAGAACTCCTAAAATCTAGTAATTATGTATAGTTTGGAAAGTGTATGTGTATGTGTCTAGTTCAGGATGAGAATGTATCTTATACTCAGGATATACGGTTGTTCTACTATGTTGTTTTATTAGTGGAACAATTTTTAAGGATTATCAGAAGATAAATTCTGAAATTTTAGCACAAAGAGTATCAAAATGAACCTAGAGTGCAAATCTTAGGAAGTCACTATTTTTACTTTATGTATAGATTTGATTAGAGGTATTTAATAAACTCAGTGGAATCATGATTTTTTAAGACTATAGGTTGCTAAATAGAAGGAACAGGCATACTACAAATATTTACTAAAACAACTGACTTTCCAAAGTGGTGTCAAACCTGTTTTCTTGTAATGATGTTGTTAATAATATCAAGTATGACAATAAACTTAAAACAAAAGTTGACTTTTTGGTATTTTCATATAATCTCCCAAAATGCAGTCAATTCTAAATACTTCTAGCTGCCTTATTTCTAATATTTATTTTGTTTATGTTACCAAATGAAAATTTTCTAGTTTAAATTTTATATTACATGGCTAACCTTAAACATATTCTTACTATGTTTTTAGCTTATGAAGTTATAGATGATAATGTCTGTCTACTCAGAGCTATTAGTAGCTGGATATATGTGTTGTCACATAATGTATTTGGGACATGACAACCATTAATTTTATCTTTTGTTCTATTAAAGATATAATAGATATTATTACACTTATATAATTTTATAAATTAAAATTTTAAAATATTACATAATATTTTCAATATCTTTTGAAGACATACAGATTTTAAGCTGTAGTCAGTAACATTAACTCATTAAAAAAATACTTAAGTAAAAATATCTGGACTTTTAAGCCTCTTTCTTCAAAACTATATATTGGATGCTCACTTTATGTCAGATACAGTTCTAAAAGCTGGAAGACACAGGGGGATGGATGAGACAGATAAATTTTCTGATATCATGATGTTTGTATTCTACAGCCAGAGATGGATTATAAATGGGCAGATCAGTACAGAATATAATTTAAAACAATGAAGCACTTATTCTTTAAAAAAAATAAGCAGAGTTCTATGTTCTACTTGAAAGGCAGATGAGAAGTGACTCTTTGGGAACTATGTTCAGAGAATGTTTTATAGAAAATGAGGAACTGGATAGCCAGCTGGAAGAATGTTTTGATGAAACTTTCCTTCCAGTCAGAAGGAGTAGCAAATGTAAAGGCTCTGAGACAGAAACAGACTTCAAAGGGAAAAAAGGGCCACATTGCTGGAGGACAGTGAACAGGATGAAAACTAGTACTAGATAACTGGATCAGAGAGGTGGGAGGCAAGTTCTATACACAGAGCTTCATAGGCCACAGTAAGTGTATCTGTCTATAAGTGTTGGATGCAGAAGACTGATAAGATGTGACTTCTTTATACCAGGAGAACTGTGGGGGCTTTGAATAAATAAACGGTGAGAAAGAGTGAGAGGAGAGAAATTAGATAGAAGGCTATTGCAATGGTTGAGGGGGAAGATTATGGTCAATTGATAAGAGTGGCCACAGTTAAAGGGTGAAAAGTTATGGATTCTTTATGTATTTTAAATATGGGCTTTACTACTATATTGGATATAAGTGATAAAGGAGAGAATCCCGTGAAGACTCACAGGTTATTGACCCTGGGTACTGAATGGTACTATTGACTGTCATGGAAAACTGAAGGAACAACATGTTCTAGGGAAAAAAATTAGTTTTGTTTTTATACATTAATTTGAAATTTTTCTTAAACTTCAAAATGAAGCTATTAAATAGGTATCTGGGGATTTCAGACTAGATGCCTCTGGGAGACATCAGGGCCAGAGATAAAACTTGGGGATTTTAATCACACAGATAATATTTAATGTCATGGGACTTGATGAACTTCCCTTGAGAAAGAGTGTAGTTGGAGGACTGAGCCCTATAATGTTCCAAAGTTTAATCATCAGAAATATGAGAGGGGATCCTGGTTGGTATGGTTCAGTGGGTTCAGCACCAGCTCACGAACCAAAGGGTCACCAGTTCAATTCCCAGTCAGGACACATGCCTGGGTTGCAGGCCAGGTCTGCAGTTGGGGGTATATGAGAGGCAAGCACACATTGATGTTTCTCTCCCCCTCTTTCTCTCTTCTTTCCCCTTTCTGTTAAAATAAAATAAAATCTTTAAAAATATATGGGAAGGGAGACTGGAATGGTGATTGGCAGGAGTAGCCACTGGTTAAAATGAAACAGTGTAGTGTGCTGGGCCTCTGAGAAATCAATGAATGGACTGTTTTGAGCCTATGAATATTTAGTAACTCAAACTTTCCTCTCCCTGCAACCTGCTTTTTTTAAAACAGATAGTTCTGCCCCAGAGACAACAAGTATGAGTACCACAGACAATGGTGTCAACTGTCTATGTGCTATATGTGGGGACAGAGCAACAGGAAAACACTATGGAGCATCCAGCTGTGATGGGTGCAAAGGCTTCTTCAGGCGCAGCATTCGCAAGAGTCACGTGTATTCCTGCAGGTACTTGAAATGCTCCTTTTAGGAAACTCATTTTTAGAGGTGTTTCAAAATGGTATGCAGATGGGAATACAATTCAGAGCTTCTCTATTTCTGTAACTCTGGGGACAAAATCTATAAAGTACATTAAGAATGAGAATGTGTGGGTGTATTTGCAGGATGCATTCACAGAGGTGGTTCTCTTTTATGACAATTTCAGACTATTAAAATAAATATAAAAATCCACACACTTATCATTCATTTTATACATTGACATAGTTGGAGCTCAGTGGATACCTCCTTTATCACTTTCTCTTTCTATCCCCTCTCCCAGAGGTGACTACTGTCTGAAATTTACTGTCTTTTCTTGGTGTTTCTTTACTGTTTTACCACATGTTCATATACCAATAGACATACTTAAGTCTGTATTCAGATAGTTTAAAATGTGTGAACTTTTCTGTCTATTGACTTTCTTTTTAGCATCATTTCATCCTGAGTCTTTTAAAACAAAATTATAAAAGTATAGATGATTTTGGTAGCTTTTTGATGTTAATGAAAGATTAAATTTTAGTCCTAAATTTTTAAATGCATTTCTTGTGTTACAGTTTTACCATTGAATGTAATGTTTTATCTAAAATGTATTTAACTATATTGTATGCATCCTACATTTCTAGTAGACGTTTTTTAAATATCTAGTCAGCATCATAGCACAATTCAGGGTTAAATATCCCACACTGAGTGTTCAGGATGATTGTTCTTGAATGCAGATTATATCTGGGAAGAACTTAATTCTTTTTTGATATGATGCCTTTTGATTTCTAGGGATATGGCAAAGTTAATATACAACTACCCAAATATCTAACTAGCATTCTGTTTTTTCAAGGAGAGCTTAGTGAGTAAAAAATGCAAATCATTCACTTTAAGACCTTTTTAGGAAACAACAAAAAATATTTAGATGGGCCTTGCTTTTCTATACATCAAAATTCCAAAGGTAAAAAGTGGCACAAGTAGATTTCCAAAAATATCAACAAAAATAAATACAAAATAATATGTAAACAATACTTTTTTAAGTAGTGTGTTCTGTTAAAAATGAAATACATAGATATGGAAAATACAATCCAAATGACTAAATCCATCAAAAACTTTTAAGAATCAGAGACTATCAGCACAAAGGGCTTTCAGGATTTCAGGCTTCCTGGATGGGAAAAGTGGAAAAGGAGTGTTCCCGTAGTAATTTTTGGAAATTTAAAAAAGATTCCACCAACATGTACAGTTGATTCACAGTTCCCATCATGAGTATTGCTACTGCCTTAGCTTTCTTCACATATTTTGCTCTTAAGCAAATGCTATGACTTTTCATTTGGAAAATAGTTATTATATTGATGGAAGTTTAGGATTATAAAGGTCTATTTAAGCTCACATTTTGCTGTCTCAAAATTTTCAGTTTTCTTATACTTAGTAAATTTATTTCCACTCTACCTCTTTCATCACAATGGAGTTGGATTTTCCATTTCAACACACATTAAATTACTGTCTCAGTACTTCTCACATTATGTTATTTATTATGGTTATTTGTAAACTTGTATGTGTATCCTATTAGGTTATCATTTCCTTGAATGAAGGAGATAGATAATAGTCCTCTGTTTAATCCCTACACCAAGACTATATACATAATATGTGATTAATAAATGTTTATTCCATTTTTTCATTAAGTTAATGTTAATTGAATGTGTTCTCCTGTTGTATTTATTAGTAATCAGGTCCTCTCTCCTGAGTCTCGTAAGCCATCCATTCTCAAATAAACAATGCTCTTTCCTCACCCAGAAAGTTTGTCTTCCAGCTCAATTCATTTATAATAGGCTTTATATTCATTCAATTTCAAGTGGCCATTTTTATTTTTAGAAGAAATATCTTTTTATATAGATCACAAAACAATATTGTTTTATTCTAAGCATTAATAATCAACCGCAAAATAATTAGAGATGTACATATGGGTAATTTTGGGCCAGAATTTTGAAGAAATGCTATTGCTTACTATATGATTAATATTTGCCCCAAAGTCTTTGAAGTTCATTTACATAGCAACCTTACAATTGTAAATTAACTGGGCAGGGCTGTTTAATAACGCTGTCCATCCTAACAAGAGAGAATGGTGGACCTGGGAATCAAGCTCAGGTCTAATTCCGGAGACAGTACTCTTTTCTTATAAGTGTGCAATTCAGTTTTTTAGTATATCCACAGAGTTGCAACCATCACTACAGTCAATTTAGAACATTTTCATCCCCCTTGGTTATAAAGAAACCTCATGCCCTTTCACAGTCACTATCCTTTGCCACCAACTTCTTTCCCACCAATGTGAGGCATCCACTTGTCTAATTTCCATGTCTATACATTTATCTCTCCTGGACATTTCATATAAGTGAAATCATACAATGTGCAGCCTTTTGTGCCTGCCTTCTCCAAGGTTTTTCTGATTTGCATCATGTATCAGTACTGCATTCTTATTCATTGTTACTTATAAATCTATTGTGTGGGGGAACCATATTTTATGTACCCATCAAATGATGGGCATTTGGGTTGTCCCCACCTTTTGGCTATTACAAATAATGCTGCTGTGGGCACATGTACAAGTGTTTGTGTGAACATATGGCTTTGTTTTTCTTGGGTTGATACCTAGGAGTGGTATTGCTAGATCATATGGTAACTCTTTAACTTTTTAAAAAACTGCCACACTTCCTAAGCCACTACAGCATTCTATGTTATGACAAACAATGTACGAGGGTTCTCATTTTCCACATCCTCTTCAACACTAGTATTTTTTTTCTGAATAGAGCCATTTTAGTGGATGTGAGATGACACCTAATTTTGCAGAGTCTGTAGCCAAAGCTGTCCTCATCTGCTTTTTGACATGCAATTTAGCATTTAGAGTAAAACTTTAGTTGGGTCACATTCAAAATGAATCAAAGAATACTTAAATGAGAAAAATATGAAAATGCAGAGGAATGAAATTCTGATATATTTTCCATTGTACCAAAATCATTTAGCAACAAACAATTAAAACATATATGCCAGACATTTTATAACTAGATTTGGCTTTCATGAATCAGACAAAAATGACCATGCACACTGGCCAAAAGTGAGATGTCTTTCAGTTTTATTTCATTATAAAGACTGCATGAGAATTGAGGATTGAATTTCTATGTATGTTCTTTTTTTTAATTTTGAAAAGTGTTTTTCATAAGATTTTTTAAAAGATTGTATTTATTCATATTTAGAGAGAAGGGAAGAGAAGGAGAGATACATCAATGTGTGGTTGCCTCTCCTGTGCCCGGTACTGGGGACCTGGCCTACAACACAGGCATGTGCCCTGACTGGGAATCGAATCAGTGACCCTTTGGTTTCCAGGCCTGTGCTCAACCCACTGAGCTACACCAGTGAGGGCTCCATGTATGTTCTGATCATGGTTGTATGTTGAAAATCATAGCAGTAGGGACATTACAAATGTTCATAATATCTGGAAAAGTCAATTAATTGTTCTTATTCATTCTTTCTGTTGGGCCAGATTTGGCCATACCTAGAGTCTATTTGTCTTTTCATTTGCTTTTTTCATAAATAATTTTCTACAAAACTAATATACCCTTTTTTTTATATTATAGGTTCAGTCGGCAATGTGTTGTTGACAAGGACAAAAGGAATCAATGTAGATATTGTCGATTAAGAAAGTGTTTTAGAGCAGGAATGAAAAAAGAAGGTAATAATATATAACATAATAGTGATATTTAACATTATTGATGAAAAGTGTTATACACATTTGCATTTAATCATAATAACTTTCACATGAATTCTTATTTTTCTTCATGAAGAATCTGTATTTCCTTGAGTTTAAGAATTTACCCTAGGACACTGGCCTCCAGCTAGTAAGCAGTATAACCAGTCTTTATATGATGGCTGTCTGATTTCTGACACCATGCCCTTTACTGCTGTGTTATACCTGGCAGCAACAAAATTGTAGTCTTACATATCATCTCAGTATTCTGTTTGAAAGATAAATGCAAAACCTATTAATGAAATTATAACTATATTTTAAACTCATTTTTATTGTCATTAAGATTGAATACCTTTATTTCATAAGCATTAACTGAATATTGACTTTGCATGCATTTATTTATTTATTCAACACATTTATTGAGCACTGCTACTTTCAAAATACTGCTCTGAGGTTTCAGTAGTTAACATAATAGAAAATTTCTCCCCCTCAGGGATCTTATATTCTACTGAAGGATAGAGACATAGACTAGATACTCTATTTTATTGTGAACTAATTTCATTGTCAACATTTTAATAATCTGACTCTATTATCCTATATTCTAAATATGGTTAATTTAGAAAGGTGTTGAACACATTTAAACATTTGGCAGGGAATAGTCACTACAAGATTTTAGGTTTATCAGGTTTTGCACATTCTTGTGCCTGTCACATACAGAGATATTTTTTTTTGTAAATTTTATCTATTTTTACTTTTTATTGTTTGGTTACAGTTGTCCCACCTTTTTCCCCATTGCTCACCTCTACTCCATCCGTCCCCACTTCCACACTCAATCCCCCCCATTGTCCATGCCCCTGAGTCCTCTCTATTCGTGTTCCTTTGCTTGTCCCTTCCCCTATCACCACCCCTCTGGTCATTGTCACTTTGTACTTTATTTCCAAGTCTCTGGTTTTATTCTGCTCATTTGTTTTTTTTTTTTGTTGATTGGGTTCCACTTATAGGTGAGATCACATGGTGTTTGTCTTTCACTGCCTCACTTATTTCACTTAACATAATGCTATCCAGTTCCATCCATGTTGTCATGAAAGGTGGGAGTTTCTTCTTTCTACAATGGTGGGATACAAAGTCAACATTCAGAAATTGAAAGCATTTCTGTATACCACAAATAAAATATCAGAAACAGAAATTAGGAAAAAATCCCATTTAAGTATACTTAGTAATAAACTTAAGGAGGTAAAACTGTACCTACAAAATTATTCAACACTGAAAAAATAAATTAAGGAAGACACAAATAAATGAAAGCATATATGGTGTTCATGGGTTGAAAGAATTAGCATCATTAAAATACCCATACTGCCCAAAACAATCTACAGATTCAATGTAATCCCTATCAAAATAGCAATGACATACTCCACAGATTTAGAACAAATACATCAAAATTTTACAAGGAACAAAGAAATATTTTTCAAAACTATTTCATAAACTATAAAAAATTAAATTAAGTCAAATCATTATTCTTCAGAAATATAAAATATATCAAACCTATCTTGAACATGGTTAGTTTTTTCCCTTGTTATTTAATATTTTAAAGAAGTAAAAGTTTCATTTGTTTTGTTCAGGTTGTTAGTCTCGAAAAAGAAGGTAACTGAAAGTTCACAAAGTTAAAGGAGAGGCACATATCTATTTAAAAATGGCATGTCTAATGGCATATTTGGTAGTTTATGGGATTAATTACATACTTTGCCAATCATTTTCATCCATTTAAACTTGCAAATCACCATCTTATATTTCCTTTAAGAGTTATATCATTTGATATATGAAATATTTTCAAGAAGAGTGAAATATCTTCTACTATTTATAGAATAATACATTAGTTTTTTTCTAAATAGATTAGGACATAACTTCTGGCCTCTAGAGTAGTTATATTTCTCTTATTTATAGTAATGGCATCTTATCAAGGTTAGTTTAAGGTGGAAACATATATAAACATGGTTTTATGTAGAAACAATAGCAGTAGGAAGGTTACAAATGCAATATCTTTTACATTTTTCTAAAGATTGACCATGTGAATTAAATTGATAAAAACATAGCTAACATTTTAATTTTTATCTCTGCAAATATATTTCATTAGTTTAGGCTGAAAAATCAATGACAATTTCTATTAAAACAAGAGGATGGAGAGAGTAAGCTAATAATAAATATGAATTAAAAATAAAATATTAATGATTCACTCTAACTTAAAAACTACTCACCCTTAAAAGCAAAACTTTCAGTATTCTCTGTTCCAAATTAATGACTTGATATTCAATATTATATTTTGGGTAGATAGTAGATTTGGGCATAGAAATTAGTGAGTTTTTAATTAAAACAATAGCGCATTAAAATGTATGATAGTTTAGTGTTTTCTCTTTCCAGCAGAGCAAGGTAGAGCACTAACTTAATTTAGAGGCTACAGGACTGGTTTTTCATTCTTTTTGGTTAACAAATAATTTTACCTTCTAAGTTTTAAATTCCAGCTCTGACACCTGACTTATATTATTCTTTATGTAGCAAATACACAAGTTAATCCCCCCTTATTCTTCCTTATATTTACAGTTTAGTTTTCAATAGGGATTTGGGGATACACATTATTCTTTCTGCCCTTTCTGAAACAAGTTGACCTAGTTTTCTCTTTAAGCCTTTTTATATGGGAGATTTCTCCACATTTCCTAAATGCTGAGTTTCCAACCTCACTCTTCTCAGGAGAGACTCCCTACTTATTACACCTTTTGCTTGATTAATGTGTGTAAACTTTCCTGAGAACATTGTTTCATAATGAACATGAGACTGCAATTTTAAAATCTACATAACTAAAATAAATGTACTTTCCATTTTTGCTCACGGTTCAAAAGAGTAAGAAAATGGGAGTTTCAAACTCTGTGACTCACATTTTCTGACAGTGAATGCACTCTTATCTTTGACCTGGTCAATCTCACAGGCAATACTCTCCTTCTAGTTATCTCATGGTTTTAATAACTTTCGGGGAATGGAAAACCATCTTATTGAAATGTAGTGTGGCTGAACTGGTTGACCCAACACTTTGTAACATGCATGCCATCATGGAATCCCAAAAAGACAGTATTTAAGAGCTCAAGTGACAATCCTGGCTCTTTCTACTTTTAAAAGCAATACAGAATGGGGTAACTGGGTGGAGGGGGATAAAGGGAAGAAGAAAATAGAACAACTGTAGTAGCATAATCAATAAAATGTACTTAAAAAATAAAGGTCGTACAAGATGAAAAATATCTTCAGTCATATTGCTTCCCAACCCCAGGTCTTTTAGAAACATTCCTTCTCTTTTTTTCTGCTTTCTTTTGTGACATATATTGAAGAGAACCTGCCAGCAAACACTGCGTTTTTTCTTCCCCAGCTGTGCAAAATGAACGTGACAGAATCAGCACCAGAAGAAGCACTTTTGATGGCACCAACATTCCCTCCATTAATACATTGGCGCAGGCAGAGCTCCGGTCTCGCCAGGTACCCACTGCACACCAGCAGCCCACCCTGCTTCATAGAATCAAATGGTTATTTAGGTGTAATGCTAAAATAATCTAAGTTCTTTCCAATATGCTCATTACTAAAATAAATCACATTTATGCAAATTCAAGAGTTTTAATTTGAAATTATTAATCGGACTGTTGATTTCACTTGGACTTTTCCTGGACAAGTTCCTGTTTATGAAATGGGATGATGAAATGCATTTCAGTAGAAGATTGTAAAAAACTTGTTTACAAAGTTCACTTAAAATATGTAATGCACAACACAGTGCTCTGGGGCAATACTTGGTTATATTGATTGAATGTATAAAATCAGTTATCATTTTTGGGGATTTTGGTTGAGACATGTCATCAGAGCTTCCTTCCTCACAAATGACTTCTAGAGTCAGGAGCTCACTTTGGCATCTTCTTTGGAAACAAGTATTTAAGGGAAGAGCCAGAATTAAAAACAAAAAAATCCACAAGAAAAAGTTTAAGTTTCTAGAATGAGAATATCAGTTCTAAAGTTTAAAAATGTAGCTACAGCCCTGGCTGGTATAGCTCAGTGGACTGAGCGTGGGCTGTGAACCAAAGTGTCACAGGTTCGATTCCCAGTCAGGCCACATCACATACCTGGGCTGCAGACCATGGCCCCCAGCAACCACACATTGATGTTTCTCTCTCTCTCTCTTTCTGCCTCCCTTCCCTCTCTAAAAATAAATAAATAAAATCTTTAAAAAGAAATGTAGCTACATACATAAATACAAATTATTAAGGATCAGCTAAAGAAACTCTTTGAAGACAGTTTATTTTAGCATTGCTCCTATTAGAAACGTTAGTGATATTTTCTATTATAAAGCAAATTGTGAAATAGTTAACTATTAAACCAGTACCATAATGAGTCAGTACAACTACTTTCGTTTGTGATAACACAAGGGTAATATGATGAGGTTAACCTCACCACTATCATCATTCATCAGATTACTTGATGGTTCTATAAAGTGTTTAGGGAATGGTTTAAAGGGGAGGTGTGAGGAATTGCACAAACACTGCAGAAAAACATGCACACACATGTTTAAAAATTTCAAGGAATGTTTTTAACTTTTAGAAAGTGATTTCTTCAGAAGAGGGTCATTTTAACACCACTTATAATTTTTATATAGTTCACAATTATATATAGTTTTAAAATTATTATTATAGGTTAAGCTTTTTGGTGTCGCTGAGTCAAAGGTTGGTTTCTTAATTGTATTTTGAAGGTTTTCATTCAGAATAGAAAATAAATCATTCTGGATTCTCATTTAAATCATTTTCCCCCTGTTTGGTAAGTTTTATCTGCTGAAATTTTTTTCATCAAATTAAAGATGGACTTTTTAATTGAAATGTTACTTTTCAATTAAAAATTCATGGAGCATATATCACATTCATACTATTATTATTTCTTTATATTGTCATTTTTGAATTATGCAACTCTCCAAACATCGGGTAACGTATTCTACAGATGTGGCCAGTAAAATAAGATAGTGCTCCCACAGCATGTGCTGTGCAGGGAATGTTTTTCATTTAACTTGTACTGAAAGGTATTTTATTTCTCAATTTTAAAATATTTAGTATGTTTCAAGATACTATAACAATAGTGCCACTTCAGTGATGTTTACTTATTGCAGTCATCTAAAAAAGAAGTATTGATAATTTATTATTTTAAATGACATATTCATATAATGTTCTTATTCATATTAGATTTCAGCCTCAAGCCCTGGTGCAAGCACAGACATAAATGTTAAAAAAATTGCAAACATTGGTGATGTTTGTGAATCTATGAAACAGCAGCTCTTGGTCTTGGTGGAATGGGCAAAATATATTCCTGCCTTCTGTGAGTTACCACTGGATGATCAGGTAGAAGTTAAAGAAATTTTGAATGCTTTAAAAATGTTTTTTGAACTTTGCCCTGTTTTTTTTGTATTCTTTTAATTATATTCATAATAGATTTACCATATTTGACAAAGGTAAAATTATCTATTAGAAAAAGCTTGGCTTTCTTATCCATTCACCTCTTTGTTCTATCAAGAGGTACCGCTGTTTGACTTCTGGTGTAGGACATGTTATTTATTGATTGAAGTTGAGCATGACACTGTTCTTCCCTTTCATGTTTTAAAAAGCTTAAGCCAGGGAGAAAGACAGATCACAAGTGCCTGCCATTGTGAGACAAAGGACTGACAGAGCAATTGTCTGGGACTCAAATGTACATTATTTTGTCTGGGTGTTTATTGAAGGTGCCTGTGTAATTGCTTAGAAATGCCAGTCCACTCCTAGATGGAAACCCATACAGGTTGTGTTGGTGTTTTACGGGCACTTTGTGCAGTTAACATATACAATTTTGTCTTGCATATTGTCAATTTTATTCTAGTATTATGTATAAAAATTATAGGTCTGATAAAAAATGTTTGTAGAATTGTGCTCTAAAGCCTACCAAGAAATAGAAAAAATTCAGATATAATGATCTTTTCATAGTACTTTAATTTCTTAATCAGCCTATGAAGATTAGATGATTAGTTTCAGATTCATTTTAAAGTCTTCCACCTAAGTAGTATACAATATCATGCAGGTACAAATAATTTGAAAATCTCCAATTCTTGCACATTGAATAAACTCTGATATGTATTATACCTGTGTATATCTCTACATCCTCTGACCAGTGTTCTTTATCATGGGCACACAAAAACAAAACAAAAACAATAAAATGAAAAAGAACAATTGTTTTAAAATAAAAATTGACAAAATATTTGTACAACCAGAAAAAAAGCAATCATAAGAAGTTCATCTGTGTTTCTAGGAGAGCATTTCACTTAGTGACCAAAAAAAAACAACAACTGTGAAATCTGAAATTACTCTCAAAATGTTCTTAACTGCCTTCCTGTTGTGAGTCATGGTTATTGACATACCATAAAGATAGCTTGTCTCAGAAGGTTATTTCAGAGTGAATAATGCTAAATTGCTAAAACCTATTTGTCTCACCCCAAGCCATATAAGTAGGGTTATGTTATTTATCAGTTTTATATTTTTACTATCACTCCTCTTAAAAAGTTGCTGACTTAAATATGAAGATAGTGATTATTACACTGGGAAATTGAATTCCAGGAACCTGTCGAAAGCAGTTTTTATTTACTAACTCAGTCTTTAATATTAACACTATAGCATTAATAGCCATGGCTGCTGAAATGTCTATTATGGATAAGGCACTGGTAAATTAGCTGTCAGTTGCACTATACATTAGATTATTCTACTTAATGCTCAAAATATCTCTGCCTAAAGTTTTATAATCTCTACTTTACCATTTTTAAAACTGTACTCTAAAACATTAAATTCACTCAGTAAGTTAATCGAACAAATATTTATTGGGATTACCATTCAGTTTTAGGAACTGTGAGTGTTTGGCAGTAACAATTCAGATTGAGTCACTATTCTCATAAAATTTACATTCCATATGGGATAGATAGACAATAAAAAATATACAGATTATAAGTAAGTTGACTCTAGGTGGGGATAAGTTCTATAAAATGAAATGCGTTGGCTTGTTGGACAATGACAGGGGGTGAAGTGGTAACAGATACTTTAAATTGGGAATCAGAAAAGATTTTTCCTGATAACTGAATGACAAAAAGCTAATCATATCAAATCAAGAAGACAGCATTCTGGGCACAAAAACAACATGTTCAAAGACCCTGAGGCAAGCAGGAGTAAATGGGCCTGGAGAAAACTGTCTGCAAGCGATGTTGTAAGGTGAAACCAGAGATGTGAGTGACACAAAGTGTTGAGCTATTTATTACCTGTGAGGCCTCTGTTAAGCAGTTTGGATGTTATCTGAGGACAATAAGAAACCAGTTTTGGAAGCTCTGTCAAGAAGGACTTAGGATTGAGGAACCAGGAAGGAAGCAGGAATACTTGTTAGGTCCTTGGAGTACATTGTAGAGGCCAGGAGAGGAATGGCAAGGGCTTGGGCTAGGGTGACATAGGTTTTGCTGGGCAATTGGAAAAGAATCAAACTGGAGTCTTGTTTTTGTCGTGAGCAAGCATGTTGGACCATGATGGGGATGTTGGAGAAGCATTACTTTGAAATGTTAAATTTGAAACACTTCCTATTATCCCTAGTGGTGATTTTCAGCAGGAAATTGAGTATATGCATAAAGCTCAGTTGATAGCTTAGAACAAAGAATTATGGGTTTAGTCCTGAGTGCATTAGAATCCAGATTCCCCATTCTCATTGTATTATGTCACAGGTCCCCACTTTGCTCTTGTTTATTCAGTTTGTTATGTGTAAAAGATTGTGTTTACACATATTTTCTCATTCAGTCCTCACATCTACAGTTTGAAATTTTAATCATTTTCTCCACTTGGCAGATGAAAACAAATGAATCCCAAACATAAATAGCTGGGTTTACTCAAGGTAAAACAAGTAGTAAGTGGCTAAGCTAGAATTTGAACTCTGCTTTGTCTGATTTTGTCTCATTCCAAAATATTTAATATTTCTGTTGGATCTTTTTGTTTGTTTGCTGACATTGTATTGACTTGTTAGTTTCAGAAATTTTGAAAAGTAAAACTCTATGACATTCTAAAATAGGAAAATAGAGGCTTAATGATGGCAACTATCTGTGAATATTATAGTCTGTTAAAACAACAAAAAAAGTGACTCAGGCTTAAAGTTAATCAGACTCATATGATACCATCTTTTAATCATCATATTTTATAATTAATTGTTCAACTTGGAATTTTTTATTAAGGTGGCACTGCTGAGAGCTCATGCAGGGGAACATTTACTGCTTGGAGCTACAAAGAGATCCATGGTGTATAAAGATATTTTGCTTTTGGGTAAGTTTTTTTAATTTAAAAAGAAATTATGCATGCTTTATTCTTACACAGAATCTATTCCGTATGTGCCGAGCATTCACAGACACTGACAAATGGTAGTATCACTGCACAGATTGGGTTTAATTGATCATATTCTCACTTGGGTCCCATTTTTCCTTGCTTTGATTGCAGGGAGGTTCAGAGTGCATTGAGACATTCAGGATGTACTGAGATTTAAAAATAAAAGAAAGATGTTATTCAATGAACAGAATCTCGAGGTATATTTAAACCATCAGAACAAAAAAATAGTCATTTGTGTGACTGTCTTAAGGAGTCTCAGTGTTGTTTCACACCTCTCTGTGTGTGAAAACTTAATAATTGTAATATACATTATTTGATACATTTTAATGAGCATGTATATCTCCTGTGATGTCATTGCCCATGGTACGCTACAAAATCACAAGTTAAAACAAATTTGATGGCAGTGTCTGAAAAATTCTGATAGTTTAATAACAGTGCCAGAAGAGGCAGAAGTAGGGTGGAGAGTAGAATGAAAGGGGGGGCGGGATGGTGAGATAAAAGAAAAAGCTTTTGTCTTCATTAAGTGCCCAATCTCTCCACTCTACTTAACTTATTAAATTAGTTTTCCTACTGAAAGAGTTAAGACCCCTCTATTGTTTGTTAGCTCCACTCTCCCTGGCTTGTGTGAAATAGGATGACCGAATTATTTATTCTATTTATGTGATACATATATTGTCCTAAAATATGAATAAATCAAACATAATGTAATAATGGCAAATATTTATCAAGCATTTGCTATGTTATATGCATTGCTTTCAGTGTTTTTTTTATATGTGTATCAACACCATTTCATCCTCACAATAACCCTAAGGGATAGGTACTATTATTTGCAGCCCATTTTTTGGGTAAAGAAATGGAGGCAGAGAAAGTTTACCTGAAATCACAAGGTTAGTGAGGTATAGAGTCAGGATTCTAAACCACATGATGTGACTATAGATGCCAAGCTCTCAAATTCTATTAAACACTCTGCTGCATTAACGGTACACTATAATACCATTCTCATTATGGATTTGGATACAATATGTTTACTTAGGTTTGTTAAAATGTGTCTCAATTGAGTTACACCTAAATATACCTATACTACTAAAGGAGTGGTGTTTTTAATCCACTGTAAACATTCTTTAGATTTTGTATTATGTTCATTAATGAATAAGACACTAGTGGATAACTGACATAGCAGAAAGCTAATCATTATACTTCATTTCTCCCTTGTCAAATATTAGCTTGTTTATTAGCCTGTACTTTACTGTTATCACCAGTGACTGAGGCTGTTAAAATGCATGTGATCATATTATCAATGTTATTGATCCTTTAAGCATTCTAAAGTTTTTCTAACTTAACACTACTAAGAGAGGAAGTACTGTTTGTTTCTGCAAGGGAAAGCCATTTAAAAGATTAGTTTGTAAAAATTTAAACAATATCTGATAATTTTGGGCGGACAATGATACTTATATTTTTTTTTTCTCTAGGAAACAACTACATTATTCAGCGCAACAGCTGTGAAGTCGAGATCAGCCGTGTGGCCAACCGAGTTCTAGATGAGCTGGTCCGACCATTTCAGGAAATCCAGATTGATGACAATGAATATGCTTGTTTGAAGGCAATTGTGTTTTTTGATCCAGGTTTGTTTCCAAAGACCCATTCAAGTAATTACAATGAAAATAAAACTACTTTTTAATTTTGGAATATTTACTGCCACACACTGTTAAGATCCAATCTTTACATCACTCTACGCCGTTCTGTTTATTTGTTTTCTAGATGCGAAAGGACTAAGCGATCCAGTGAAGATTAAGAACATGCGGTTCCAGGTGCAGCTGAGCCTGGAGGACTACATCAATGACCGGCAGTATGACTCGCGCGGCCGGTTCGGGGAGCTGCTGTTGCTGCTGCCAACGCTGCAGAGCATCACTTGGCAGATGATTGAACAGATTCAGTTTGTCAAACTCTTTGGGATGGTTAAAATTGACAACCTCCTTCAGGAAATGCTACTGGGTGGTGAGTGCATTTGAGAATCTCTGTTTCATCTGTTAGCATCCCACTATGTACTTTAGAGTCAGTTTGACACTTTTATTTTCTGTCGGCGACATAATGAACTCATTTTTTTTACATTTAGAAAGTCTACAATACTCATTGGAGGGGGACAAATACTTGAACAAATTCAAATCCCCATTTTTACTAGCCTCCACCATCTAGCTCCACAAAACCTCTAACCTCAATTTTCAGGTCCTTCAAATATAGTAAATAGAAATATATTTGCTGCTTTTAATACTTTTAAAAGTATTAAAAGTATGAAAAGTAATACTTAATACTTTTGCTACTCCTATGCCTTTTACATGCCTTTTCTTTGCCTTTACACCTTTTAAAAGCTCAAGGATATCAGAATTGCAAACATAATCTAAAACTATAAAGAGTAAGGCCCTGGCTGGCGTAGCTCAGTGGATTGAGCGCGGGCTGGGAACCAAAGTGTCCCAGGTTCGATTTCCAGCCAGGGTACATGCCTGGGTTGCAGGCCATAACCCCCAGCAACCGCACATTGATGTTTCTCTCTCTCTCTATCTCCCTCCCTTCCCTCTCTAAAAATAAATAAATAAATAAATAAAATCTTTAAAAATATAAAGAGTAAATATCTTAAAAACACTTTGTTCCTGAAATAATTAATTGACACAACACGATGAGAAGGAAAAAATGAGATTTCATTACTGCAGTAAATGTCAGGAATAAGTTAAGAAAGCATTTATTCTGTGTTCTGAGCTAGATTAAATTTCTTTATAAAATCACTTTATTTTATTTTTAGTTTCCTGGTGCTTAATGTGTTCCTAATGATATTTTCCTGAAATAAAAGTTGTTTATGTTATTAGGGTGATCCTAAATACTATAAACTTGAGGTAAGTGATTCTTGGAATTGCTTTAACAACAGGCAGCCAACCTAATGATTCCAGGAAATAGCACACAAGGTCCACTATTAATATACAACATAACATGATGCAACATTCATCCAGCCAATGTACTGTGAAAGCTGACATTGTCCTTAATATGGCAGTGGTTCTATTAATTTACTTTTGAACTCCCAAAAAGCACTTTGCAAAAATAGCAATATTCAAGCTGTCAATCAAACCATTTGTTCCAAGGAAAACTCACCATTTCTGATTAAATATCACTAATGTAACCATCTTTTTATCTTCTGTAGGTGCTTCCAGTGACGTTAGCCATGTCCATCATCCAATGCATCCACATTTGTCTCAAGATCCATTAACTGGACAAACCATACTTCTAGGCCCTATGTCAACACTGGTTCATACAGACCAAATCTGTAAGTATCTGGCCTACTTATCAACTGCAATATGTCCTAAACTTAATTACCTGAGAAAAAGGAGAAATTTGGGGAAATAATCTATTATAACCCAGAAACTACAAGATAGGGCTACAGTGTCCTCTGCAGGACTCAACTGTGAGAGATTGTGAGATTCAGCAAGTCACTTATCCTCCTTAGGCATGAATTTGCTCTGTACAATGGAACTATGAGTATCTAAATCTTTCTACATCATAGATTTGGGAACGGAAAAGAATGCATAGGCAGCCCTAGTTTTGCTGGTATGCAGGCTCATAAAAATGACTATGCAAACTGGAACCATGCAAAGAAATATGAATAATCAATGGGAAAATTATAGTTTGTGATATTTAAAAATTTTTGTCATATAGTGTTATATGTCAATTATACCTCAGTAAAAAACAAACAAAAATGTTTGTCAAAACATTAAGAATCCTTTTACATATGTGTTATAAAAATATAGGGAATTTTGAAAAATATAATAAATTAAATTTAAAAATATAGGAAAGTTGAAAAATATAGTAATCCTAATTATTTTGTGTATCATAATTTAAGAGTTTAGAAACTGGAGAGTATAATGTTTTTATTTCTTTGTAAAAAAATTTAAGAGGCATAATTTGAATAGTGTTTTTGCCTCCTCCTCTGATAATAATTTATAAGAAGAACTAGTGATCTTTTCTGTGGTTTGCTGAATGTTAACTGTTTTGGAAGTTTGAATCAGCTTCCAACATTTTATCTTTTGCATTTTTTCCTCATTTTATTTATTTTTAATTACAGTTTACACTCAATATTATTTTGTATTTGTTTTAGGCATATGGCATAGTGGATAGACAATCATATAATTTACAAGGTGTCCCCCCTGATATTTTCAGTACCCAATTGGCACCATACATAGTTATTGACTATACATGTATTATGCATATATATTATGTATAATGTAGGTACCTATACATGTAGGTACATGTATTGACATATATAGTTATTGACATAGTTACAATATTATTGACTATATAGCCTATGCTGCATTCTTGGCATTTTCAGTGTCTTGAAATATTCCTGAGAATCCATTTAATGTGAAGTCTTTTAGCCAGTTTCATTTCCTCTGGGGCATCTTTGTCCTTACAACATAGCCAGTCTCCTCACTTATGGTGAATGCTCACAAGTGTGCCCTCAAATTTAGGGACTCAAATAGCAGCCATGTCCATATTCCCATGGTTGCTATCTTCCGTAACTCCATTTATGTTCAATTAGAATTTTGATTCCAGGATTATCACTTTTTGTTTCTTTACTGCACTTTAATTGTTTTGAGCCAATGCCCTTTCAATTGCCTATTTTTGTAAAATGTCACATGGGTCTATCACTGGAAGACAAGGAGGCAACTTGAGTACAAACTTCGTTGTCAGTGTGTGAATTGAATAAAATATGTTCCAATATGAATAAAATATTGACAGAATAAAAGATGTGATGTGACTGGTCCCTGATCACAAGACATCTGTTATTTAGGTAATTATTTGAGACTGGAGCATTAGCAGTGAAGCTTGTGCTTATGTGGTACTCACAGTTAATTAGGAGTCACCATGCTGACTGGAACTTGAACCATGATTTTGCAGGACTGGTGCCATTAACTGATGACTGACACTTGTACATGTCAGAATTGTGCACCATGAAGGCTGCTTGGGAAAACCTTTGAAACTAAAATGACTATATAATTACTAGGAGTTGTTAGTGGCTAAGTTAATCTGATATGATCACAGATTTAACACAGATTCTATTTCTATAAGCTATCCTGAAGATAAAAATCTCTATTTGACCAAATATTAAAAATTAATTGCCACTAAATTTATACTAATGAATCCCAGATTTACCTTTGATCTATATTGTCTGTGAACACTAAGCCAGCTACCTTGCTGAGATGCCTTGAGTTATTATAATTATTATGCATACCTGTATTCTCACTGAATTTACAATAGCCATTAATAACTAGTTACAATGTTGTTTTACCTAAATGTTCAATGTAATGTAACAATTCAGTGAGTACTACCTGACTCCTACCTAGTGGAAGGAAAGTAGAGGCCACAAAAATGCACATTTTCACATCTACCTTTTAGTTACAAGCATTGGTATACCTATGTGTAAAATGCTTCTGAAACACAAAGTTGTTTGAGTATGTGACAGAGGCAGAAATGGAATTGTTAGAAAAAAATTTTAAAATTGAAAATAACATGGCACATTTAACCTGAGGCTTCCAGTGTTCTTAAAAGACATTATTTTGGGACCATCCTTGCAAAGCAGATGTTAACATTTTCATGTTTTCAACAGCAGAGAGAGGTAAGCCCAATATCACACAAGGGAGTTATGTCTCTTAAAAAAAACTGATCTTAAAGATCAGTTATTCATACAATCAGAAAATAAAACACAGTAACAATACATTAAGCATTATAGTCATCAACTGGCAAGAAAGTTTAACAATTCTGCTGGTAGTTGAATCTTTTACTTTTTAAATGCTACTTTTCTAGTAGTTTAAAAGCATGTTTATTGACCTTAATCTTTTTAGACTCTCATCGTCACATTTTTCATATTCTTACCTTTTCCAACATATTTAATAAGAATCATTGAAAGAAAAGCTTTGCTTGTGCTCATTTAGGATAGTGTGTATATTATCCAAAACAAAACATCAGACACACATGAACATAAAAATTTAAGTTTGTGCATATAGACTTGGTCTTTTAGGGTAGCTCTCTGCAGTTTCAAATCCATCCTAAATATCTAGAAATAATTTTTAAAGCAATTTGTTTATTCTTTTGTCAAACTATCTAAAACAGTTATTCCTAAGTAATTGCTAATCCACTCTTAATAATACCAAAGTTATCTTAGTTAAGAGAACCAAGCAAAAATGCACTATCCTCAAAATTCTAGAATTTTGTCTTTGAATTCTAGAAAACACCTTTAAAGTTTTATAAAACTATTTTGGACAAAAAAATCTATAAAGTTTGCAATGCTTCAGTGAGATCATCAAATATTTTTTATTCTGTTAAATATGTAGAATAATAAATATGAATAGTAAAGTACTTTGTTTTTAAAAACTATAGAAAAGCTCTTTCTATTATTGATTATTTTACAATATGATTAAAATTTATAATAGGAAGAAATACTACTATAGACAATGAAATATTCTAATTACTAGATTGCTCTTTACATTGATAAAGAAGTGACAGGGCGTAGCTCAGTGGATTGAGAGCGGTCTGCAAACCAAAACATCGCAGGTTCAATTCCCAGTCAGGGCACATGCCTGGGTTGCAGGCCACGGCCCTCAGCAACTGCACATTGATGTTTCTCTCTCTCTCTCTTTCTCCCTCCCTTCCCTCTCTGAAAATGAATGGATAAAATCTTAAAAAAATAAAAGTGACAGGCAAGCACAATTATAATGGAGTAATTTTGAAGTGACAAAGCCAGTATATTTCAAATGCCTTAACTGCAACATAGACTTGAAAGTACTTGAAAAGTATCTTACATTTATTTTTATGTCATCTAATATGTTTTAATTAGTAGAATCCAAATCAAATATATTTTCTTTTCTGTGCATTTTATATTGAAAAGTTTATAACAATTGCAATCTAATATTTGAAAAAAAACACTAGCATTCTGTTAATTCTTTTCATTAATTTTTTTCTGCTGGGTGTGGGAGACAATCAAACACTCACAAATGCTATTAAGAAAAGCAGAAAACACCTTTAAAGTACTCTAAAGATTTTCAACAATAATCTAGTCCATTAATCTATTTGATGAGGTAAGGTAGGGGTGCATCTCTATTGGTATGTCAGTGAGCTGAAAATGTATTAGATAAACCACTACTTTATGTATGATCTTTTAAAAACATATCCAAAGTAAAATAATGCATATTGGTGTCATGCAGGCATTAATGGGGTGATAGGTCAGGGTGACTGTCACCATCACATACAATTCTCTGATTCTTTTTTAGCAACTCCTGAAACCCCACTCCCTTCCCCACCACAAGGCTCTGGACAAGAACAATACAAAATAGCTGCAAACCAAGCTTCAGTTATTTCACACCAGTCTCTCTCCAAGCAAAAGCAATTGTGAGGAAATGTTTACTTCTGAACAGCACTGAATAAATGTGAAAAATTACTGGTCTCGAAATGTCTCAGGATAGTGCTTTTGGCAAACTCTTAGCTAAGGCTTCTTCATGGTGCTGTTGTAAGATGGTAACCTATTTTGTTGTTTTTAGGCTCATTTTGTTTGTTGTTGCTATTGTCTGGAACTGTCAGTTGCAACCACTATTATTTGAGTTTTGATGTGTTTATATCGTATGATTTTTCCAGCTTCCTTAGCACTGTATCTTAAGCAGTCGAATCTTATGTACTACTTTCATTTGTTGCCTTAATATTAATTTAAACCTGTAAATAACTGCTTCATCATTATGTCACACAGAACTAAGTGTTCTTTTTGACTGTGAATATTAGATCAGAAATCTCAGATTAATATAAAGTGAACCAAGTTTTTAGTAAATTTTAAACTTGCAAATTAGAAAAAATACAGCAGTTGCCATAGAATAAGGTATGGATCTTTGAAGATCACTTACAGATATCCTGTGATCTGGAAGTGTCTTTCTGGCCCACAGTTAAATATGCCTATTTTAAGTTTAAGTTTAGAAAAATATAAATAGCCATTCCAAGGATGGCTGGATATTCTTTCAAATTTGACTATATTTGAAGGTGTATCATATGATAAAAGGTGTTAGTTTTAGCAGATGGGTTAGTTTTAGTGCAGGCTAAACTATAAAAAGAAATCCCTAAAACAGTGGCTCAACCAAGAAAGAAGTTTATTTCTCTGTTCTAAAACAATGTGGAAGTCCTCCCTTATGGACTAGAACTTGGCACATCATATCTAGTTCTCAGGGAGCCTGGGAGAGTAGGAAGAAAGCCTTAGGTCAACCAAAGCTACAACTCTGGGGACTAATACTTGGAGACAAATTAGCCATCTTTCTGTAACACATGTGTTACTTCATTTTGTCCTCACGACAACCCTGAAGAGAGATAGTATTATCTTTCTGTTATACATAAAGAAATCCATAACTTAGGTTCTTTAAGTAATGTAACCAAAGTTCATAAACCTAAAGAGTAGGAGAGCCACATTTAAACCCAGGTCTGGTTGACTTTCATAGGAATAAATATATTTTTGGTGTGGCATGAAAACTGTAATGCTTCTTGCTGTGGTTTTTAAATATATGCAATTAATTACCGATCTAATACTATCTGTCATGTTACCTATAACACATATTTACATGTAAGTTGTGAGTGTCAAATTGTTGCAGCACAATAAGAAACCACTTTTATACTTTGAATAAGAGTCTTAACCCTAAAAAATATTTTAAACAAATTAAAGAAAATAAAAGCTATACCAGTTGGGTTATCATTGAAACAAAAAACAAATTCAAATCATTAACTATCAGATTTTCAAAAATCCAGCAACTCAATGATATACTAAATGTCTAATTCTGAACAGAGGAGTACAGTTCATTGGAGACCTAAACTATTTGATATCATGTAAGGCTGGAGCCTATTTAAAAACAATTAATGATGGATTGCCTTGTAAACCGGTAATCAATCAAACTCTCTCATACTTTATTAGTGGAAGCAGGGAATAACTGGTTGAATAATTATTAATGATATAAAGAAGTTATCTCAAGTTGTAAGAGACTGATTTACATGATTTTTTCAGGGCCTTTCAAAATTTCTAAGATTATGATTTTAAAACCCCCACTTACCCTACAAATAAAAAGATTCAGTAGATGTTAACTAACTTGCTGGCTCTTAAAGTGAAATTGAATTCTGAAAATAGAAAATGATTACTTAGAAGCTATGATTGATTTAATAGAATCAATAAATTCTTTCAATAGCTGGCAGCTTTGTGCAACTGTGAAATCTTTGAGAAAGAAAAAGTTTTTTTAACTTACGTTTTTCATGGAAATTTACTTTGGTATCTCTGTCATGAATAAGAATATTTTGATTTTTATAAATATAAATATTGTTTGTAGATTTCTGCTTGCTTTTTTGTGTTGTGCTCTTAGAAAATATTAAAAAACTTTAAAATATAAAACAAATCTGTATTAGTAAGCCCTTTAACTTATCTGCATATATTTACTAAATAGTTATGTTTTACAAATTATTACAAACAATTTTGTTTTAATAACTATGGTCAGGGAATTTGTAATATGTTTTGTATACTAAACTTCCAAAAAATGCTAGATGAAAGGAACTGATATTTTCAAATATTGATAAAGTTATTGCTTTATTTAGCACAGAATGTTTTTCATGTAATAAAAATGAATAATTTATTGTGAAATAATGATTCATTTTATAAATAAAATTATTTTTATAAATTTTATTGTTGAAAATCAAAAATTATTAGATTTTTTAAATGTTGAATTATAGTGAGATGAAAATATTTCTGAACTGATACTATGTTGTTTCACTGAAATTTCTAAATAAAATTTGAGGAAAAGACTGAAATGGGGTACTTCATTGTTGCTCAAAAGTGATTATATAATTGTAGAGATAATGCTAATATCTGTCATATGGCCATTTAGTTAAATTTATGTTACATGGAGTTCAGTAATACCTGTGTTTGGAGGCCAGAGATAAATTAATTAGCACATTTCCAAATAATTGTAGTCTCCCTGATCAAAGGGAGAACCTGCACACTTGCGGGTTAACTATGTAATTTTGCTTGCTTTATAGTTTTGTTTCAGTAATGAAAAAGTATGACCATGGCTGGCTTCAACACTGTATAAACATATAATTGGCACATAAATGTTTAACTTCATTGTTTTTTGTTCTGTTATTCACTGTTTATATTTAAAACTTCTTTGTAAAATTTCTTAAATTAGGAGGACCAGTTGTTTTTATAAAATTCTACTAATTTTAATTTTATATTTACTTTTATCAGGGTAATATGTGTACATCATTCAAAAACACAATTATGCCCTGGCTGATGTGGCTCAGAGGATTGAGTACTGGTCTCAGAGTCAAAGCATTGCTGGTTCAATTCCCAGTCAGGGTACATGCCTGGATTGGGGGCCAGGTCCCCAGTAGAGAACGTGGGAGAGGCAACCACACATTGATGTTTCTCTACCTCTCTTTCTCCCTCCCTTCCCCTCTGTCTAAAAATAAATAAATAATTCTAAAAAAACACAGTTGTGTTTAAAGGTTTTATTGCAAACCTGTGGTCCTCCACCCTACCATTCCCTTCTTCCCCATTTTCTGTCCTTCAGTAACAAGACTCAAATATGGCAGCCAGTTTATGTGGTATTTTTCTCCATAGTTTGAAAGTATTTTTATATCACATTTTTTCAATCTTTTTTTTAAGTTTCAGACCTTATCTGTACACAAACACTCAACACTCACTACATTCTCTCAATTTCTTAGTAAAGCAATATTTTACTTATTCGGAAGTTACTGTTTCAATACTTGCAAAGAGCTTGGTGATTAAAGGGTCTGAGCCCAGGAATGAAGGTCTGGATCAAGCCACATGCAAGCCATCAAGATGGCAGAGGTTCAGCTGAAGATGAAGAGACTCTAGGTTACATTCTAGAAGAATCAGGTAATTCTTCATTATGGACTCAAGTCCAGCTTCATTGGTGGGCCATCTATTCTGTTCTGCTTACCTTCCCCTTTTAATTTGCTCACAGAAAAGTAGCTCACCAAAATCATGGGGGAGCTGCTACCTACATTGTTAGGAAGATGTGTACCTGACAGGCACAAGGCTTATACAGACATGGACAAAGTAGGCTTACTGTTGTTTGTTAAAATATCAGCCATCATTACCTAAAAGATAAGTCATAAGCAAGGATATGAAATAACAATAATAAGAAGACAAATAATACAATAATTAAATAAATAATAATACAAGGATAAACTCTGTGTTTCACATACAACTGTGAACCTACTTTTACCCAACCCTGTATTGCAGTCAATACTCCAGGCTGAAGGACTTAACTCTATTAGTTGATGGAGAGCAGTTGGCAGACATCTTTGGGAATTACTTTCATTTGAAAGCCACTTCAACCATTTCCATGCCCCTTTTTGGAAGTAGTTTACATCCAAAGATTGGTTGATGCAAGAATACAGAGGTTTGACCCTTTTCCCCATCCTCACACCAACCCTGAAGAGCCATGCCACTTTTCAAAGCTCACTCTGGGATTGGCTGAGGTCTTTGTTGTGTCTGAATCACAGCTTAACTTCTTTCTCTACCAAAGTTTGCCTCCATCCTCTCCTTTGAGTGCTGATCCTTACAGCATTCGCTAATAAATGTTCTACGTGATAATCTCAGTCTAATTTCTAGAGAGCTCAGCCTACAACAACAGGTAAGGTTCATTTATATTTATAAACTATCAGAGGCAATTGTAAAATGAAATTAACCAAGCATATGGGCTGTAATATCAATAAAAATAAAATTAATAAAAATTCAATTTATGAAGTACAGACAGCAATATCATCAGAAGTCAGATTTTTAAAATAATGAAAAATGTTGACATTGAAAACATGAAACATTTTTGTGAATTTAATTCATTTTCAGATAAATCAGGCATTAAAGACTGATGAGTTAGGAGTAAAAGGAAGTATTAAATGTGTTGATAGAGTTGAATTACAGATATATAGAAAAAAGTAATTAAAAAAAAAAACCTAACCAGATCTGACTTTTAGTTAGAAAGTGTTACTGCAGTTAAAGATTTTGTAATGTAAAAGACCAGTTGACAAATTTCTAGCTAATTCTTTTCCACAGGCTATTTCTTCTGGTAGGCATTTCCTTCTCTTTGATCTCCTAGCATGCTTCTACTTGAGTTAATGTATCACTTTTGCCATTCTGTCAACACTTCTACAAACGTCTCAGACAAAATTAAAAACTTCCTCATGTTTCTCACTCTTGGTTGTATGTACTTCTATTTACAGAATTTATTTTAATACTTCTGATATTGCTTATTGCCATTTGAAGTGAGCCCCTGGAGAGCAGTTACCATGTTGGACACATTTTTAATTGCCATGATTCAACAGCATTTCTAGCAATTAATAGGTGATCAGCAGTGATTTCTCAAGTAGACAAGAGATTGGTCAAAACTATGAATTGTTTTTTATTAGTAAAGCACAAGAAGGAAATGTGCTGAAGATTGAAATATTTACTAACTATTCAATGGATTTTTAGATAGTGCTATTTTGACAAGACAATCAGCTAATCATATTTTTTTAAATAAAAATAGTGAGAAAGATAATTATTTTCAGTAAGGGAAACATTATCATTTAATCCCTGTTTATTTTATAACTTTTTTCTTATAGATGTTTTTGACAGATTTTATCAACTTATTTTTCATATTTTAAAATATAAGCATCATCAAAAGGTACCTTACAGCACAAAATGTATTATGTTTTTATACGGCAAAGTAGCATAAAAACATAAAGGGCTTTTTCTTATATTAGGCCTTTGTGTTCATTTAATCTAAATGTAATTCAGTCGAGTCATGTCCGAATTTGACATTAATGTCAGAGACAGATTAGTAGATAGAATTACAATATTTTCTGATGATGATAACGATGATGATGGTGATTTATTTTTTAGAGGATTTGCTTTAAGAACATAGATTAACATTATAGATTTCTTCCTGCATATATTGACAAAAGTATATGGGGTTTCCTCTACATATCTGTTAGTAAATGAGAGGATACCAGGGGCTAAAGAAGGGGAGCCACTGCTAGTGGGCAGCTAGTTTCTTTTTGGGGTAACAAAAATGTTCTCAAAATATTAGCCTAAGTGGCTCAGCTAATATATTAAACCCACTGACTCATATACTTTAAATGGGTGAGTTATGTGATGTGTGGATTACATTTCTATAAAGCTGTTTTTAAAAAGCGTTAGCCAATCTCACTCATGAATATAAAGTAAAAGCCCATATAAAGCATAGTTAACACTTATCAGTGATATAAAATGAAAGGTAATGCATGTCAATCAAGGGTACTTCAAAGCTAGAATATTGGCTAATCTAATCTACTTCATAATGAAGTTAGGGAGATAATCCTCTATCCTAGTTCTGTAGAAAATTACAGACAAATAGGGGAACACATTGAAAACTGGAATTTAGGGATAGAAACATGTTCTTCACTGGAAAAGTCAATTCTGTAGAAATACTAATTCTCCCCACACTGGCCTATAGATTCAATGTAATTACAATAAAAATTGTAGCAGGTTTTCTGCAGGCCATGACATACTGTTACAAATTACATGGGCATCCTTCTCTTTCCTTTCCCTTCTCTTTTTTCTTTTCTCTTTCCTTCCTTTTCCTTGGAGGGACAGCATGGCTATGGTCCAAAGTGTCAGGGTAGCCAATAAAGATGTATAAATATATAAATACATACGCATAAATTAACAACATACATAGAAATCAATGAACAAAATAGATAATATACAACAAGGTATTTCACAAAACAGAAGACAAAAATGGCCAATAAACATAAAGCAAAGTGCCAAGTTTCAATAGTAATCAGAAAAAAATGCAGTTGAAATTCACAATGAGACTCTACTTCATACACAACACAATAATTTTTTTTAAATCTTAACACTATCAGCTAAAGGCAAGGATGTGGAACTGTGGAATTCTTACATTTCTGGTAGGAGTAAAAATAATTGAGAAGAAGATTTGGTATTATCTAGTAAACATAAACTTGTGCATACTTACATCTTAGTATTATGCTCTTAAGCATCATACCCTGGAGAAGAAACAGTGTACATGTGATCTGAGACAAAGCTGCAAATATCTGGCAATAATATTGTTATTAGCAAAATTCTTTCTTTCTTTCTTTTATTTTATTTTGTTTTATTGAATTTATTGGGGTAACATGAATTAAAAATTATGTAGGTTTCAGGTATACAAGTCTACAGTGCATCATATTGTTCTGTGTATTCATCACCTGAAGTCAAGTCTCCTTCCATCACTATTTATCTTCCCTTTACCTTCTTCTACCTCCCTCATTGCCCTTCACTCTGGCAGTCACCATACTGTTGTATACCCATGATTCTTTCTTTCTTTTTTTTTACTTAATCCCTTTACTTCTTTCACTCAGCCCCACAAGCACCCTCAGATACCTGGAAGTCTGTTCTCTGTCTATGAGTCTGTTTCTATTTTTTGTTAGTTTATCTTGTTCATTAAATTCCACATATGAGTGAAATTATACAGTATTTGCCTTTCTCTGACTGGCTTATTTCACTTAGAATGATATTCTTCAGGTTCATCCATGTCATCACAAATGGTAAGACTTCCTTCTTTTGTATGATTGAGTAGTATTCCATTGTGTAAATGTATCACTGCTTTTTTATCCACTTATCTACTGATGGATTCTTGGGCTGCTTTCAAATCATAGCTATTGTGAATAACACTGTAGTGAACATAGGGTGCAAATCAGTGTTTTGAGTTTATTTGGATATATTCCCAGAAGTGCAACACTGGGTCATAAGGCAGTTCCAGTTTACCTTTTCTGAAGAGCCTCCATACTGCTTCCACAGTGGCTTCACCAATCTGTATTTCCACCAACAGTGCACAGGGCATTAGGGTTCACTTTTCTCCACATCCTTGCCAACACTTGTTTGTTGATTTGTTGACGGTAGCCATTCTGACTGGTGTGAGATGGTATTTCATTGTGGTTTTAATTTGCATTTCTATGATGATTAGTGATGTTGAACATGTTTTATATGTATATTGATTATCCTTATGTATATGTATATTGTATATGTATATATACAATATATGCATATGTATATGTATATGTATCCTTATTTATATGTATATTGATATCCTTAGAGAAGTGTCTATTCAGGTCTTTTGCCCACTTTTTAATCAGGTTGTTTGTTATTTTGGTTTTGAGTTGTATAACTTCTCTATAAATTTTGGATATTAACCCTTTGAAGGGGTGTCCAACCTGTGGCCCACAGGCTGCATGTGGCTCAGGATAGCTATGAATGTGGGTCAACACAAAATCATAAATTTACTTAAAACATTATGAGAAGTTTTTTGTGA